TCCTACTTTAAGTATAAATAATGAAACATTACAATTTTAGTCTTACTTTTAGTTAAATTTCTGATAAATCCATCTAGATAAAACTAGGACAATTATCAATTGGTATGTTACCTACCGGTATCCTTCTTCATCCTTCGATGCCTTGAATGTGAATTTCCGTGAATGTACATAGGTAGTTTTACAAGCACTCATTTAAAACAAACTTCAATTAAAATACTCCGTATGAACAAAGTCTATTATTTAAACGGAAGATAATTAGACGTGCACTCGATTCCACGTAATTTTAGCAACTGAAAGCTGTTTCGTGAAAGGATAGAATGCCGAACAAAAACGAGTCAGGACGATATCGAAGGTCACGATTTCCTTGACGTGCTTTAACGTTTATCACAGATAACAACACACAAAGACGTACTAATGTTATAATTTATAATACTGAAGTTAAATTGTAAAAATTAAAAATGAGATCATGTTTTTATACCGTACACGTTTTTTGCTTAACAAACAGGCAGCGAACAATCTGTTTTACAGTGGGTGTGTTCTTTAATTTTTGTGTTTTTGTTTTCTTTTTTTTTGCTTTTGATTTTAATGGCGTTTTAAAAAATCCGCCATTACAATATTATTTTCGCGAACCCCCTCTGCAAACACTGCGAACCCCCAGGGGTTCGCGAACCACCGGTTGGGAATCACTGTTCTACAATAACCGTCAATGTTTTTCCAGTCGTCATATAGTATAGAAACAGGACTTAAGAGGGATAGAAGTAAACCTAGATTAGATTACTGTTCACAAATTGTTAAGGATAGGGGATGTTCTAGTTTGAGAGAAACGCGAAGTTTAAGTCAGGATAGGAAAGAGTGGAAGTACGTGTTAAATCATATGATGATGATAATGATTATGATTAAGATGATGATGAAGACATACATGTATTCTGAATTGATAATACCGAAACTCATGCGCAGTCGCCTATTGCGCCAAGGCTCATGCGTTTTCTATGCTTTATTAGATTTGATGCTTTCTAGATCCATTCGCTTCGGGTTAAGTGGTTACTTCGATATCTTCAATCTTCGTAATAGAAATTGTTAATTCTTGTTCCAAATATTCTGATTGTGAGCCTAAATAAATTTTATTTAAATACTTAGATTTCGGAAACGTTAGACCAATAATGCACTTAACGAGGTACGGAACTAAATAAAATTATTTGTAATAACAGTAACGTAGGGAGAATTTGCATCTTCTCTAGTTTCCTATTCTTCCCTGGTTATTTAGAGTCATAGTAGCGTAAACTAGCGACAATATTGAGTTAAATCGAGCGAAAAATTGTAATTTCTGAGCTATGATGCAACCTATATAAAGCGAACAGCTGCTTATTCAATCTCAGTTTGGCTCTAGGCCTCTAATTGATAAAACATTAGGCAGTAAGTACGTACTTAACCACCGGGCACAACAATGGTACGTTCGTCTGTTGCAAAATTCCATCCGAATTCGCGTCGCGTTGTTCTCTTCTAGTGATGGTTAAAATGACAGTGTTGTATTATTGTGAACTAAATATTTTTTGTGACTGTTGAGAACTGTTTGCAATGTTTTTATGCTGTCTCTTCTATGCTGTATACTACTACAACTGCTGCTAGAATGAGGGTACTTTTGTTTGTTACCGGTTTTATTCTAATGATACCTTTTACTCCTGCAAGAAGTCGTCCCCCCGGCTTATTAAGAATGTAAGTTTATCGAAATATAATCAAGGACTTTCCTTGAATTCAGTAGGTATATACATAAATAGTATAATTGTTTTATGAGAGTGGATCTAATATTTACTTGAAAAAAGGTCGTAAATAATTATTTATTGAATTGTTGTTATTGAGAGGGTCACATTTAATTGTTCAGAAGCTTCCACAGAACGATTTTGAATGGAATTATACAGGAAAATCAATAAATAGATTTAAAATTACTTTTTATTTAATTTGACTGAACTTGTAGGATAATAATAACTTGTGTTCTAAACCAAAAAGAACGTAATTACCAAAATAAAACGTACCTATACCTTCTTATGGCTCTAACATCATCAAAGTAACAACAGCAATTCGAATTTTAAAAATAGTCTTTATCATTTTTAAGCAATTTTTATATCCTCAGATTTAAATCATTTGTTTTAAATCAGGATTCTAATCAAGCGATTTTTTTTTGGTCATCATCCCAGCCTAGTAAATGTTTTTGATAACATCGTTATTTCCTTTCTAATTTAAATTTAAAAAAATCTGATTCTAATAAAAAAATATATTAAAAAAAAAACATGACATTTGTCAACTCTATAGATATCAGCAAATGTGCACGGTGTTACATAATTGCAATTAACTCAAAACAAGAGACAAAGAGTCACGGAAACAAAACACAAATCCAAAGTAGTACATAACCTCTGAGGGTGAAACATTGGTGTCGAAACGCGTTTTAAGTTTTTAAATTTTGGATTTCATTTCGACATTATTTTTAATTTAAGAACATATCATCTAAAATAAAGCATTTTAAGAAAAATTTACGTTTAAGACAACAAACCGTTGACCTTGAAATCTGTAATGATCCCGACTCTTATCAAGTGAAATTTTCTACCTTATTTTATTCATGGGTTACAAGTTTTTGATGTAACATTAACTATTATTTAATTAAAGAATAAAAGTCCTTTAGAAATTTAGAAATTCTTGTACAGAATTTTATTGCAGATAAAAGGAAGTTTCTTTGAATATTGACTGAGAAGACTGTGCATGATACAAAACAAGAAAATGCTTAAGTTTCTACATGCTTGTATGCCTTGTAAATACTTTTCAGTCACGCTCCATAGTTTTTTGACAATAGCTGTTTTTGCCTTTTGTAATTAAGGTTTTGACCATGATCTTTCATTCTGCGCTGTTTTTAATGTTTGGAATTTCAAGTAAGAAATGTAGCAATAATTCGGAAAAATTATACGCTTTTCACTTTTACATAGCCAACTCCTTTAGGAGGAAGATGCTTGCAAAATATATAGAGCAAAAACAGAAAAGTTTCCCTGTTTTACCATAATTTTCTGATTATGTGTAAATTCATGGATATTTTTTGTTTTCTATGAAATTTTTGATGATTTTGATGAGGTTTATGCAGGGTGTTTATATAGGTAAGGCAAAATATTCACTAAACGTAGAAATAAATTTCGTTGTCGGCATTTTTTTATATAATTTAGTGAATGTTTTGATTATTTTTCTTTAACTACGTCTATCAGGCAGTTATTGAGCTGGGGCTGCAACGTAGAGAAGTAAATACTAGGAAGGGAGTCACACAGGGATGCACACTGTCACCGCTACTTTTTAATCTACTTATATATCGAAGACGCGATCACCATCATTAAAGACTGTAGGGATATATATATACAGGGGCAAAAGATTAATATCCTTAGATTTGCAGATGATATAGCTGTATTAGCATCTAGCAAGAAGCAGTTAGGGATAGCTTTAAATAAAATAAAAGCGGTATTGACAAAATAGTACCTACTGTATGAAAATAAATAAAAGTAAAACAAAAATACTGGTATGCAATGGAAGGAAAAGTAGGGAAAGAGCGAATATAAAGATAGGAGATGAAAAATTAGAAGAAGTGGCTAATTTTCGGTATCTGGGAAGTAAGATAAGTCAGGACGGAAGGAGTAGTAGGGATATAATGCAGAGGATAGCGCAAGGTCGAGTTGCCTTCAATAAAAAGATGTAACTTCTATGCTCGCAAACGATTAATTTGAAAATTCGAAAAAGGTTGTTAAAGGTTAAAAGACTAGACTAGAATAGTCTACAATGTTCTAGATATTTCACAGCATTCGAGTGTGCTCTGGAACGTTCCACAATGATCTGGAACATTCCAGACTATTCCCGAACATTTTACAACATTTCAGAACGTTGGAACCCATGACGAATCTCGCTTTACATATCCCTACGAATAGGTATTTCCACCCATACTAAAAAGGATCCGAATGTTCCACACTGTTCCAGAATATTCCACATCATTCGAAGGTGTTCTGGAATGTTCCACAAACGATTTAGAATGTTTCCGAACATTGTGGAATGATCTCAGATATTCTGGTCTGCTCTAGAAATTTCTAGAGGACGAAACTTCCAGCCCTTATATTTTTAAAAGCACGCCCTTCAAGTTAAAATGAGAACCTTCTTCATGGACGGGAGATAGATGGGTTATCACACCATATAACTCCCTTGATCGTACCGGGACTTCTTTCTGAGCTTTAGCAGCACGCACATTGTAGATACACTTACGTTTATAAAATATATTGATTAACTGTTTTTGGAAGAACTATTATCATCATGTGAAATTGCATCCAATATATTGTAAAATTATGGTTTCTTTGCTCTAGCATCCACCTATCACAGTTATATCGAAAAATGCTTAAAATAAATCAATAAATAATAATAAAAATATTGCTAGTATTGTAAAATTTCTGTCCATTTGAAACAGAATTATTATTAAAGTTTTAACGAACGAATGTTGAGGAGCTAGCAAGAGGGGGAAAAGTTTGTTTTAATTGACCGTGCGTTTAGTCCCGAGAGTACGTCTGGACTCATCAGTATGGCTAATAAAAAAAAAAAATACTTTTGGGTGTTTCATCCCCACCAGCCAGTAATGCTGGTGGCCGGGCAGTCCCTCCGGACTACGCCGGAAGGTAGGGCGGAAGGCCCTCTTCAGCCTGCTTCCAGGAATCGTGGGAATGGGTGGGTGGTGGTTCGGGTGAGAAAGATGAGACGGACGAAATGAAGACAGAAGAGAATGAAAGATTATCTGTGGAATATTACTGCCTCAGCATTTGCCTAAGTGATCCAAGGAAACCACAGAAAAACTTGGACCAAGGCAGACGGACCCGGAATCGAACCGGCGTCCTTCCGAATGCTAAGCAATGGTCTAAACCTCTAGGCCATGCTGCTCGGTTGGCTAATGACGTGTTCTCTACCTTAGATACCTGAGAAGTGTCCCGTTTCAATTCGCCACTAGTGAATAATAATAATTAATCAAAAGTATAGTTATTTCATCAAAATAAATACGCTTGATCGTACATATCTAAATTGGTTTTACTTGAACTCAGTAATATGAAATTATGAGAGCCATTTTAATTTTAATGTGAATGATTTATTGCCTTTGATTTAATTGCTTAGTATTATATGTCTTTTTTGTGATTGTTAACTGCCCATTTACGATTCGTAGGAAAAACTAATTTAGTTTTTTTCTTTTTATGTGTAAATGTTATCGAGTTTATAATTTGATATGCAATTATCCTCAGTAAACTACGTTGTTTAGGTAGGTACTTAGATAGTAGATACGGAAGTATAAAAGTCAATCAACCAATACGCTCATTAAAACAGATTCAAATTTCAAATCCTAAAATTATAATTTATTAGCGCTGTCCGTGTTTTATATCTTTTGTATTTGTAATTTTTTAGATACGATTAGGCGTGCTTGACAATATTGATGTTATATATCCAACCTGTAGTAGTTATTTATTCTTCTAACGTTGTAGGCTTGTATGTATGTTACCGATCGAAGTCATTGACAGTAGGTCATTGTATCACTGTCATAGGTCAGTGTACACCAGTAGTTGTTACAATGGCGTTTAGAAAGGCAAAACATTGTAACATGTTACTAATTTACAGCAAATATGAATACAATGGGAAGCCATCTAATGTGTTTACAGAGATTAAGGGAAACTGGAAATTTACATCGTACATGTGAAGGCTGGTGAGAGAGCGTTCAAGTATTACGTAACGCAATTTTTGAAGATATTTGACCCTCCCTCACCCCCTTGTAACGAGACGTAACGTTTTTCTATACTCCGTAACACTCAGGTGACCATTTTTACCTAAATCTCGCAAAAGTTATGTTGCGCAAATATTATAACATTATTTAAATGTTCTACAGACTTTTCTTTGTTTTTTAGCTTTTCTTTAGTCGTTTTCCAAATTTCGTTGATACAGTTGCGCCCACAAGTCAGCATAAGAGTCTTTATAGACCAAGAACAACTGATGATACAAATCTCCCTCTTTTAAGGACATTACAGTATGAACACTGTGAACTCACTTTAATAACACCGACTACAACAATGTGTTTTGCATAAACACTAACGAATACTGACAACGAAAACAACATTAAATGACGTACAATACAATTGAGGGATTCCCCGTAAAACGTAAACGAAAAAGGTTGCCAACTTGGTAGTTTTAATACCCTAATTTATTATTTGAAAAAAGAAACACTGTTACGTAATTTGTTGCAAGAAAGACCCCTCCCGCCCTTGTAACGCATCGTAACGTTTTACGAGACCCCCCTCCCCCCAAATTACATTACGTAATACTTGAATGCCCCGTGACGTCACCCCCGAGCCATATTGCCGCTGTAAAAGACGTTCATACAAGATTACCCCCAATGTAGTACGTAGGAAATAGTGTAGAATTGGCTTCTTACAGAAAACTAATTTTCAGCCGAGGGTAGATTTGTGTTATAGTTGGTAAAAAATGCTTCAAACGCCAATTTTTTCCATAGGGTAATATTTACATGCTTGGTAGTCCGAATCTAACTCCACAGGACTTCTTTGTACGGGGTTGTATGAAATAGCGCGCATATCAAACGCTAGTGTATAATTCTAATGATGTACAGCAGGGCCGTGTGATATGATCGCTGCAAATGAAATTCGCCAAATACCTGA